TGCTGTCCCTGTATCGATACATTATTAGCAAACAAAATATCACGATACTACACAGTATCGATTTTTTCCCCCACCCCTACTGTATATACACATTATAATTGAAATATATTAATGCAGTTAAACAAAAGTCAGCACAATAAAGACTCTTCAAAGATTATTTAATTATTACAAGTACCATATAAAGCTGTCTGAATTTACTTGTACTCTAAACTCTAAGTTCTCTAAATTTAAGATTCTAAACAGCAGCACCAACCTCAAAAAATAAAAAAAAAACACTTTCTTTTTCTCATTAATGTGATGGCAATATAACTGTAATACAGTCTCACTTTAATGAAGCCTAACACTGAGCATTTTGAGGTGCAAGGCGTCTAGAAATATGTATGGAGAGGTTCACTGTGTACGAGTAGAACTCACTGGTGGTTGATCTCTATGGCCTGATAAGCTGCTCTGATCCTGGCTTGAGGATTTCTCTCTCTCCAGGCCTTCTGCATCACTGTAAGAAGATGATCATCTAGGCTTACTGCAATATAGATGTGAGTTTATGGTACTGGTATACAAACCCGTAGTGCTTCACATCATAAAAAAAGGAATTTCTGGCATGTATTGCATGTATGCATTGATTGCATAGATTTGAGCAATTTTCCTCATCTTTGTATAACTCACCAGCATCCTCTGGCCTTAACTGCTGAGTGTCTCCTGTGAAGAAGGTCTGATGATCTTGAGCAGATAGGTTCATATCATAATATGTTAAGGGTTCCTTCCCAGTCACCCAGGTGTACCTGTAGTACACAGAGTAAAAACAATAGCTTCCATTTTATGGTTAAGTGAATCAAATGAAAAAATAATACTTCTGCACTAAAGACAAAAAGTAGGTTTAAATCATTACAAATCTTTAGAAAAATTCTGATATTATGAATTACTCATTTTAAAAGGTTATTTAACAGAAAAAATAATAATGTTCATATACATAGCAGCAGGCACTGGTTCGTGAAAGCCGCCATGTTGCCTCCTTGTCTTGAATACAGTGGCTAACATGGACATTGCCATTGTTCCTGATAAGTTTTATATATTTAGCTAAAGATTGGCCACATATGCAGTAGATCTTATAACATTCTTTTGATCTAAAAATCACAAATAGCTCTTTCAAACTATAAATGTCCATTTAATATTTGTATATTTTTCTCCTCCTCCACCACTGCTCCATCAATTAAGCTGACTGCAATCTGCAATCTACTGACATCAAGTGGTGAGATTTTACACACTTAACCTTTATGAAATTTAAAAGTGTTTGAACCACATAATTATCTAAATAAAATCTTAAACAAACACATACCTGTTATATTCAGCTCCTCTAAAAAGATTCAAAGGATTTCGCCAGACCTTGCACTCTACAAACAGAGGTTGTTGTTACTGTTTACATAAATATGAATAATAATGCTATGATCGGCTGTATCATGCATATATATATTTTTTTTACCTGAAACACTGGGCCTAGGCTCTGCATCTCCATTAACTGATGAGAACAGACCAGTTGTGGAGCTGCTTTCCACTCCACCCAGCAAAGGACGCAGGTGGCTCACCGATACTTGTTCAATAAACGAAGTCCCATATTTACGAAAATACCACCATTCAAATATCTGTAATAAAAACATAAACGGTTGATATGCTTTTATTAATATGTGCCATTATACAGCCTGAACATTTGTATTGGTATTTGTCGCTGATTTTGTGCTAAATGAATCTTTAAATTGAGAGTGATGAAGAGCTAAAACACTTAAAAAGCTAAAAATAATAATAATAATAATTAAAGGGTTTATGATGATTTTTTTTTGGTTCCTTCTGAACATAAGAAGGAATGAAAAATTATATATATATTTTTTTTTTTAAAACATCTGAAAGGAATTATTGCTATCTGCATCATATAGCATAATGCACTCTAAACCAAAACATACGTTACAACTGAATGTATTAAAATGTGTTACGGTTAAAACGTGATTTATGGTGATAAAGAAATTAACTCACAAGGATGAGTCCAGAGATAAGAGAGGAGGTTCCAGTGAGAGCCACGTAAAATTTGGGTGTCAGTGTGTTTAAAAACACTGAAGCTGAAAGAAGAAAATAAAGGAGACACTTACGCCCAACAGTAGTTGTAATAAAAACCTTGAAAATATTCAACTTCGATGATCTTTATCAGGTGACATTTAGCTCACAGTAGCAAACTTGGTAACACAAATCATCAACTACTTAATTTCGACTGCATTCAGTGTGATCTACGGTAGGAGAAAATGCAAAATGTGTCTGCCAATTAATATCTAAACAGAAGCTTTACTTTTAACCAGACAGTCGCCACTGTTCGTGTCTCGATAACTCAGACAGCGAGCTGTCAAACCAACAGCTTTCGCTAAAGCTATACACCCGTAGGCTAACAATAGCTAGCTAGCATCTGCCTTAATTCACCTGAGGTAAGAGTTTCCTGCAATTTCAGCGGACTCCACAGGACGTATATCATTATCAGCACCATCCCGAACCAAAGGAAGCACACATAAGTCCATGACCAAGAGAGCCAAGACTTCAGTTTCTCTGTGAATCCGGGAGACTGGGGATTACTGCCAGTGCTGTCCTCCATGTTTCTCCGGATGTCTGTAAACAGAGGAGTCACGTGACTACGGAGCAACAAGACTTCTACTTTGAAATCGTTGCAAGAAAAATGTTTCCGGAGGCTACAGAAAAACGTGTATGTATTTTCTTTCCACACATATACACGCTATTTACTCCTCATCTAAACCAAAGAAACTATTATCACGTATACTTTGCATACAAACGTCTTGCGACTGAATTTATTAATACTTACTATAAACAGCTTTATATTTTAAATACCAAAATACTGAAACTATTAATAAGCACTTCAAGAGCGCAAACCTCACCTGAGCCCACTCTGGCCAGTATTTAACTGTTAGAGAAAAGTGTTGTATTTTGTATATATTCATTAAAAAAAAAAATGTTTTGGTTCTTTTTAAACGTACTCGAAGAAGTATATATAAAGAAGTGTATAGTGCAGTAAAAAATCAGATAAGGGTAGCATGACAAATGTGTACTTTGATTACACAAACATTATGTAGGAGCAGGTGGTATTGATTTGTAAATAACTGGATACAAATGTTTTCAGTTTTTGAAAAACCTTTTTTTTTTTATCTTGTCTTGTCTTGTCTGGCAGCGTTAGCAAACAGAATTATGATCTGAATGCACTCGCAATTCTCAGAATCGTAATTCTGATTGCAAAAGCTACTACAGTATATTTGTAACTAACTATACACAGAAAGCAATGTGATTAGGAATGCGATATTTAGAATCCCCAAATATCATTACCTATGTTGTCAATACAGTAATTAGGCAGTAAGAAACATAGTTTTATCACTTTCAGATCAATCAATTAACCTTGAAGGGAAGGTCAGAGGTCAAATGTTAATATAGCTTATGAGTTCTGTATGTGGGCAATGCACACCACACTTCCAAAAAATCATAGTTATAAGGCTTTATAGTTACAGAGAGAATGACACACACACAAACTAAGCCAGCTTCCTTACTGGAGGTAAAACTATGGATAAACAAAAAGGATACATTACATAACTACTAGAGCTTTAGCTAACAAACATTTACATAAGTATTTGTTTATTTTACTCAGATTGTAAAAGCAATGGGCTATTGTAATGATGATTTCTTTTGCTAACTAATAATGAGGCCATTAATTATTATTTTATGGAGATATGCTTAGCAGTTATTTTGTTAATAAAACTCCTGTAGACCTTAATAAAACACTTTCTTGGTAGCTACGGTGCTTAAGCCGTTATGAATATTTGCTGACGATAATTATCTTGGCCATTAAATGTAGCAAAACTGCAGGCAATCATTCCCCAGTTAATTTCCCTGCCCACACTGTCTGTTCCTATTCGTGGTCAGCAAGTGGGGCTATTACACCACCAACCCATTGACTTTTGTTTCCATCATTGTACTGCAGGTGGAGACAACTTTCCGTTTTGCTGGGCTCCTTTCAGTCTCTGGTTTCACTACAATGTTTTAGAAATTCATGTCGTCCTGCATGAAGGTGTTCTTTTTCATCTCTTTCACCTCATATATTCTGTAAATTAGTTTCCAACCATTTTTGCACTCCTTATTTCTGGTGAAGAGTTGGATTCAAATGCTGACAGTCACTGTCAGTTAGTATCCTATTCATTTACATAACCAAAAATACATAACTCAAAGAGATTATTGGCACAAGAAAGAAATATATTTTTGGATACATACTTTCAGCACCACTTCCCACCTTGTGTGATTGATTCACATCTCCTAACCGGGCAGGAATAAATGCGATTTGTTGGAGTTCATTCTAGTTGGAGGTTACAGGTACTGAATGGCAGAGAACCCGATTTGGTCCTACTCACACATGCCCTTGGGTGTTTTTCTGCCTGATGCTGATGGACAAGAACACGCAGGGTTAAAGGCCTGTCATATAAATCAGGTACAATCACTTTAGAGGTGAAAACATGCATGATGCTACTGACAGGGAGAAATAGAGGGGGAAATGAAAAAGAGACTAAGAGGAAGGAAAGAGGAGCAAGACAGGCTTGCAGAAGTTATCTGGAGTGTATAGTATGACCTACATGTCTGAATGTATTTTCAGATGAAATGATATTTCCAAATGACCTCGTCTCAGTGAGTCATTCGCTGATTAGACATGCATGAAGCCTCCAAGACAGCATAAAACAGTGCAGTTACACTGATGCACTTTTAATAGATATCAACAGGAGAATATGTATAATGTCATGTCTTACATGTAGTTGCGTTATCAGAACAAGGATCATTTCAGAATTGTCACAAAAATGCACAAAGTAATCAATTTGAAATGCTCAAATAAAATATTGATTTTAGGGAAAAACAACTTGTATAGTAAACTCCAAATATAAAACACAAACACTGACTCAAAAATTGCAATCCAGTTTTTGTGTCCTTACTACCTTGGTACTGAGGTAGCATAACCTGTGCACAGTTCAGTCCAGCCATGCAGAAGCAATATCTCTCATCATTCTGCAGTCACCTGTATACTTAAGGTTCATTTACAATTTCACATCTGGTATCCATCCAGCCATTCTGGACTTCGTGTTCTGTTTATGTACTTTCTTTCTTTTCTCTGCCCAAAGCTTTTAAGAGTCTTCTAATCATACATAATTAATTGAGGTTTTCACTTAAACGCACTGCATTTCTCACTCTCATTATTAGTTAAGAGGCTGCTCTTTAGGACTTAAAAATACCTGGCATTCTCTCGATCAGATTGTTCACGAAGCTTGCTGTTAAAACAAATGAAGACATATCGGGTATATGAGTGATAGAGTAAAAAAAAAAAGCCTTTGCATACTGTCATGCGCTGTAAATGTACAAGCTCTTTGACTGATCGTCTGTCAAGTCTGCATTTGGTGGTCCCTCCTGATGGAAACTTCAAACTTTGTGAAACTGGTTCTTGTCTCCCACTCTGCTTTCTCTCTGTGAGTTTACATTACTTGTCTCCATTAAGGGACTCTCCCTCCCTCACTCATTTCTCTCAAAACACTTCATTTTCTGAAAATGTCTGTTCTTTTTTTTTTGCATCAGGAGACCATGCAGTTTGACCACATCTGAAGGCAATGGTGCCGCAGAAAAATGACTTCCTCCATGACAGGCTTGGAGGCCACTGAGCTGCATTTCACAATGTTACTTTGTAAATATATGAGGGCAAGTGAATACCTACCAATCAAGCTGCAGCAGGGAAGATGCATGACATGTACTGTTGGGCTTTTGATTAACCTGATGTGGCCTCTTTTTAGTAGAATGATCCTTTTTAATGCTTTTTTATGTTTAGTATATGTTACGGCTCGCTCTTTTTAACACAAAGGAATCCAATTAATCTGTGTTGTTTGCTTCAAAGTCAAATAAAGCCTACAAAAAGCGCAAACAGCATGGAAATGAAAACATAAAGCATGCAGTAACAGCATGAGTGCAGCACATTCTCATCCAGCGTATAGCCTACAACTCTGGCCAACTGTAAGTTCAAATGGAAGAGGCAGAAATGAATAATACATAGCGACTACATTTATGCAGTCAGGGTGTTCATTTTTAGTAAATTCAAAGGCAAGGTGCACAGATAAAACTGCAGCAATTAAGAGTAAATACTGTAAAATATCTGAAGAAACATGTGCTACATTATGAAAAACAAACAAGCAAACAAAGTAATAGCGCAGTTTTGCACCAAAGAATAAAGCTGCACAAACAGAGCCTTATTCATATTAACAAGGTTGCTTGTGTTTGTATCGTGAGAATACATGTCGGATACTGTATCATCGTAAGTTGCTAGAAAAGTGTTGACATTCTTTCTTTTGTTTCCAGTATTTTCTGTCAAAAGGAGATTTGTCAGTGTTGAGAAAGTAGATATGGGCCAGTAATGAAAGCTGCAGTCCATGATTACAATAAAAACAAAGCAAAGCAGAAATACACAAATCAAAAGCAAAACATAATAGATACATTTTTACCCATATTGAATTATGCTGTGTTATTGGTCACTGTGTTAATGTAAAACATTCTGATAGCAAAATTTAAAAAGAGACCTTTGTGATGAGTCTGTAGACGTTACACACAACTGTAATGTTGATGGAAAAAAAAAACAGGTGAGACTTTTATGAGTCATTTTGAAACCATTTTGATAACACCATACAAATCCAGCAAGATTGCATACCAGATTTAAATATGAATCATATCACAATAGTGGTTGCACTTTGCTGAACTTAGTAATGTTTCTGTAAGCTACAAAAGAAATAAGCAACCATAAAAATCAGAAAAATATAGACCGATGGTGGTTAGTGTGTAGCACTCCATGCTAAATGCTAAGAAGTGCAGTGCAATGTGCATTGCTAGCATGCTGATGTTTTGGGTGGTAGTCAGCCATGTTAGCACAGAAACACAGCCCACTTATGCTAGTAACGTATTGCATGTCTTTTAACCAAAACAATGGAGAATTTACATTTTTGCTCCAATAATTGCCAAATGTTAATAATTAAGGAATCGTCATATTTTGATTGCAATTTGACTTTAAGGGATACACATGAAATTTCATGGTAATCAGTCCAACAGTCTTGTTACTCTGTAATGACACTCAAAACCACAAATGTCATTGTGGCATAAGACGAAAAGTCATCGCATTAAAAGTCATCGCCTGCAAGACCAAGCATGCATATAAATGTCAAAGCAAACCACTGAATAGTTGTGAAGATATTTTAGTCAAGACCACCAGCCGTGTGATACAATAATAATGCCATGCAAAGAGCTATGCCATTAGCTTTGTTAAAAGGGATATTTATTTGTGTTTATGTATGATTTAGTAGACATAAAAAAAGTACCAAAGGAGGATGGTTATATTAGGTCTCTGACTAACAAACCTTCATTACAAATCACCATTTCATTGAAAACACAACCTGGTGAGGTTTGACTGAAAGCATGTGAAAGAACAAGACAGCACTTGGGTCTCTGTGGTTTAAGTCCTCCACCATAGCCAACAGGCCTCGATTGCAGCTACATCCTTTGAGAATCATGCAACCTTTATGGGATGGTTTCA